GTGGGTGGTGGTGGTGGTGGTGGGTGTGACTGCACCCTCCGAAGAGGTTCACTTCGCGCCCCCGATGCGCATGCTGTGCTAGAGGAATCAGCGGAGGAGAGCTCGGTGCTGTCGAGCGAAGAAGCATCGAACGCCAAGGATCAGGACTTTCGGCTCACCAGGTAGAGTTCTGTAAAAAGCCTGAGTGGTGCTTTGAGACGCTTGCGCCATGCTGTCCTTGAAGGAAGGCTCTGACTCAGTGCCTTATGCCACTGAATCTCGGCAGAGTCTGTCACAATGGACGCACTGGGACCCGAAGTTGGCTTCTAGAAGCATTGGCATTGCTATCCAAGGAATCATCTTCCAGAGCCGGTTGATCCAACACTGCACACCGGAGTGGATCTCCTGGGAAAAACCGTAGAGCAGCATCGGATGGAGGACGAGGACATGATGGGTAACTCCCTATCGTGTGACTTGTGGCTCTCGGCCTCGTCCCGTCCAGGAGTCGCTGCAGGAGACTGCAGTCGGTTCTTTCCGAGAAGAGGACTGCCTGCAGCTAGCCGACTACACCTTCTGCAGAGTTTCACTTCGCGCCCCTGACGTGGCTCCTGTGCTTGAGCTGCAGGCGGCAGGGGAGAGCTCGGTGCTGTCAAGTGAAGAAGTGCTGCACCCTACGGATCAGGACTGTCGGGTGATCAAGTAGCCAGAGTTCCACAGACATAGCCTTTAAAGAGATGCTTCTGTGATGCTGTCGTTGAAGGAAGGGCCTGACTCAGTGCCTACGCCACTGAATCTCGGCAGAGTCTGTAACCATGGACACATTGCGACCCGAAGTTGGCTCTTAGAAGCTAGCAGCATTCTGGTTTCCATCCGAGGTATCATCTTCCGGAGCCGGTCGATCCAACACTGCACACAGGAGTGAATCTGCTGAGCAGCTTCCTTCTTCCTTTCGGACACCTGGCATTTGTGAGTTGGTCGCCGGATTGCCGTGCACACTTCCTTGCCCGGGTGGGCCGGTTTGCAACTAAGGACTGCGGGCTGGTTGGCTCCAAGGCAACCCATCGGCAGTCTGAGAAGCTGAGAACGGGCCTTGTCCGTAGAATGTAAACAGCTCTGATAAACTTGAGCTAGCATCTGAGCAATGCGGTGAATAGTGTAGTGATGTCGAGTGACAGAAAGTCACCGGGAACGAGCTGTATGCATCAAAGGAGGTACTGGCACTCTTTGCGGTGCCGATGCTCTGCGGACGTCCGTTTTAGACTTGGCCCGCGCGCCGAACACGGCAGCGGCAAGGGGCAAGGGTTTCCTCGCGTATAGTATACCTTCGAACAGTGCGCGGGTTTCTCAGTTTCAGCCACTTTGGTTGGCGCGAGGGTGTTCGAGATGATAGATGGGCTCAGCTCCACCACATGTCTGTACTGTAAGGGGCCCAGCCCAACTGCACGAAGTGATGTTGGCCTAGGCTCTAGGCTTTTTTCCGTGCTGAGCAGACCCATCTGACTGTGTGTTGGGATCCGGAGCTTTGACGGCTTTGGCCTCGAAGCGCATGTGGCGCAGCGCGCTCTACTTGCGGAACTGGCTGTCAGAAACCTGCTGTCCGAATGCGATAAGAGTCGCAAATCTTGTTATCGAATATTGGCATAGAAACCCAGATGCATTCCTCCAGCCACTGGTTGCTTCGATTCCTGCTCGGGTTAGGAGGGCCGCCCGAGCGCTTCCACATTTTCATGCCCGAGCTGTGTTTCAGTGGGGGGTGCATTGGCTCATTTTGCGGGATGATGCCGCTGTAGCGCAGCGTAGAGAACGGAGCGACATGTTGATCGCAGGTGGGAGAACGGGGCTTTGACATGACAATTGCATACAGTTGCGCAGGAAACAGGAGCCCTTTTTTTCGACCCCCTACGTCTTCTTTCAACTCCTTGGCAGCGCCCGCCCCGGGCCCCGGCCCACGCAGCCATTGTTGCCCCATGTCTTTTCTTCGACCCCCCACATCGTCCAGCGAGGCAGAATCTTCCCAGAAGCTTTTTTTCCACCACTAAACCTCTCTTCACCGACCACCCTCCCCCCCCTTCCCGTGCACCCCTCCCGTCCGCCCCTCCCATCGCATGAAGACCATCTCAATCTCATGTCCCTGAGACGACGTTTGGTTCGTGAGGCTGTCGCACGTTTTGAGTCGAGTGTGCGTGTACTAGAGAAATAGTTACGAGTTACGAGTTCCTAATTTGCCCATCTCTTCACGGTTGGTGCTGGCAGGCCCCGATGTTGTTCGTTGGACTTCCTGATTTTGTTCGCTGGATCTTCGTTCTACCAAAAATCAAGGAGCACGGGGCTTCCATCTTTTTTCGGAGCGCTATTATATTTCTTAACCCTGCAAGACCTGGGTTTTGCTTAGCTTCGGCAAAGATTTTTTGAAATCTAGGTTTAGGATTGCTGTTCTGACGTCTAAGACAAATTTTAAGGACGCCTGCTATCGCGAACAGCAGAGGTGGGTTTCGAAAAATCCTGCATTAGCGTAGGTTTTTACAGGATGTGCAAAATCAGGTTTTCCAGATTCCATAGGCTATTCAAAATTTCAAGCATCACGATCGTTTTTGATGGCTTCACGCAGTCAACTGACTTTCTGGCTTTGGCTTTGCGGGTCAATACCTCGAAAAAATCCTGCATTTGCCTAGGTGTTCACAGGCGGCCCGACCCCTAGCATATTTTTTCAACCCCTTAACCCATCTATCTGACCCCGGTGCACTCCGTACTGTGCTTGACCGGTTTTCCAAACGGGCCTACTCGCTTCTCTAACCCTTTCATCCTACGATTTCCATCAAGGGTCCCCACCTTTGACCCGAACAGCTTCTTCTGACCCCCAAAGCATACTGTTCTCACCCCGTGCTAGCTGGTGTAGTCGACCCCGTGGAAGGAGCCATGCCAGCCGTCAAACCCCCAAACCTTTAGACCCTCCCGAACGCTTTGCAACGCCAAACTCCTCCGAAACACTTAGCCCCAAGCCTCATGCAGGCCTAACCCGGGGAAGGCCAGGCGTTGTGCTTTGCGTGATTCAAGCACCGGAAAGAAGTAAGACCGTTTTGTAATGTTTTGGGGCACAGGGTCTTTTTTCGCCTGCTCCAACGGCTCTCGCCACAGGCGGGGCGCATCCGAAAAACAAACTGCTTTAGATCCGGAGCCGCCGCCTTGGGGCGCTGCGTGCTACCCCGATCGCCGCTTGGCGAAGCGTGCCGCGGAAGCTAGCCGAAGCCCCAAACTTGTGAAAGTTCTTCACGATACCACAGTGCCTCTGCAGCAGCTGGTTTCCAGATTTTTCTGTGCGCAGTTTCGTGGAGAAATTGGATGAATACGACACCAAATTCTGGTGAAGACTGCCGTCATCACTGCACTCATTGCACCAAGCAAAGCATAGCACCGCTTTTGAAAATTATTGCATTCATACGAAGCTGATGGCAGCTTCACACCTCGGCGTGGCCAAACGGACAGCGAGCGCGCTGGGCATCTGAGACTTAATTTGGGCCTGCAGTGGCAGAGCGTTTGTTGTACAAAAAGAAGTAGTTCAAGCACACTTATGACTTAGATTTCTCATTGCTTGCAGAGTGAGTCTTGCCAAGGACGTTGGTTATCTCCTCACAGGAAGCCTCCAAAGCTGTTTTGGCGCCTCGACTGGTGTTCCATTCGTACCAATTCCTGAAGTCGCTGATGATCCGTTGATCGTCCGATGATGTCCTCACAGGTGCCGGCCAGGGTGCGCACGCAGTGCTGGCTCCGTGAGAGATGAGAAGGACGAGGTGTGCATGTAAAGCAGGAAGATATCACCGGATTCTACTTGCCTTGTGTTAGCACGCTACAGTAGGGTCTTGGAGGCCTCCACATCAGATGCGACGCCGTATCGTGGAAGATGCTCTGTTGAGGGGGTGATACTCCCTATTGCGGACACGGAGGACAGGCTTGAACCAGTAGCAGCAGCATGCGTACTTGACATCAAAGCTGGCCGACAAAGGCACCTGAGGAGGACCAGGCTTCCAGTGCCTCAGCTTCTCTGGTTCAAACCCGTTAGGATCTTGCGGCAAGCGTGGGTGTCGTGATGGCCAAGCAGGGAGGGTTCCAGCTGAGGCATAGACTCGCGCCTGAGCAATCGATTGCAGCTAAAAGCCAGCAGCCCCTCAGCTGATGTACGACCGGCATACTGCTCGTACTGTGGGGATTATGACTACGTTCAGAATTGTCACATTCCTGTTCCTGATGCTGCCAGAGTGGCTGATGTCACGCATAATGTCACATTAACATAGCTTATCATACCCTGACACTATGATGATGGTCATGAGATTGCTGATGCCGATGCTGATGGTGGCGCTGGTTGTCGAAGTGGTGGTAGTGGTGGTAGTGTATTGGCTACGGGCTCAGTATTTATGGTGGCAAGTACCATGCAAGAGCGGTAGTATTGCCACTGCCACTGCATGAATGTACTGTTGACGGCGCGAGCCGCTGTGACCATACTGCTTCGTATCGCAGAGAGTTATACACTTGAAAACGGTGCCAGGCTCCACGATAGGCCATCACATATATCTTCTAGCTGATCGCCATATTCAAACATATACATAGATGTTCATCGCTGACCGCTGGGGCTGAACTTTGGAGCCGTGAGTCTGAGTCTGGACGCTCACAGGTCAGCAGTTGGGCTCGACAGAAGGCCCTGGCATGCATCTTGATGCTCATTCAACAGTCAACATCTATCACTATGGTTGTGCATGAGCCGAGGGTCAACAACAAGCCAGCCGAGCTGTGCTAGTGGACACCTAGGTATGCTGAAGTTCCATCCGATCGGGTGGAAGACAAGGCCAAGCTGCAACGCTGCCGCACGAAGATGGAGGGCCTTTTGCGTAACTGTCATGCTCCAATCTGCGGCTGCAGGTATCACGTGCATGAGAGCCAGGACCACCTGGATGCGTTTCAAAACGTTTTCCGCCGACTACGGCGTACAGGGCGAGATGAAACCGACAAGGATGTCTCCGACTCCATGTTGAAGGCTCGGGAAGGCCTAGGGCCCTAGGTCGCGGACCGCACCTGCAGCTCTCGAGCCAGGCCATGGAGTATGCGAGAAAGAAGAAGGAGGGTGGATGAGCCTTGCCTCGGAAGAGTCTGCTCCGTGAGTGAGGAACAAAAAGCGGGCTGCACAAGTTATAATCAGCGCAAGCTGCTGAGTTTGTTTGGCCAGCCCTCAATCCCGGTCCAGCTGATAGCCTTCAACCGGCTAGCCATGGGCTCATGGATGCAGGATTGTTTGTTGTCTGAGCCTTGTCACAAGTTGTTGTGCAGCAGAGTCCAAGATTGATCGACAAGTACGAGTCTGGATCTTCCTTAGCCTTGTGTTCGCTTATTGCCACCTGCAATGAAAGTGCAATCTCTACTCGCGAGCAGCTACAAATAGGTGTGGTGAAGGGCTGGGTTAAGCTGGTCTCCTGCATGATTGACGGATCGACCCGGGATGCAAGCGTCGCAGCCATCGCCAAAGTGCGGGCTCATGCACCATGCCGATGCGGAGCAACTTCTTGGAGTTGTGCACCTGGCGCGAAGGCGGCTCCCCTCGTCTCTTCTGCTTCCGTTACCTGGTACCTGGTAAGGGCAGCAGTCCTGGCATCGTCGGACGCCGCAAGCGACGACTTTAAACTGTAAGTCGACAGCCTTTTCAGACCACTTGCGATAAATGACAGTCCCGTACGTGCTGTGCTTCCGAGTTCAGGCCTTTTCCACCCCCTGCTGTTTGTGTACTCGGGTCCGCGTGCACTGATGCCACAGAAATGCATCGGGAACCCCCCTTGCAGAAGGTGGTCCAGCCGGGGAGCTGGCATTCTCGTCCCTCACGCCCGCCGAGACAGTTCAACGCCCCTGGCTTGGAAATGTTCGTAAGTTCTGCCCGGGCCGTGTTTCGATCAGTGGCTCTTCATGTGAATCTGAACGCAGGACAAGACAAGAAGCTTCGATGGACTCCTCATATGGCTATGATGCGCAAGATCATGGCTGGGCAGGGCAGCGTCCTGGGTCAGCCCTTGTCGGAGTCTTACTGATGATACTGGTGTGGATGAATGCATGCCGGGAAGTGCATGCCTGCCTTCGTGAGGTCAAGGCTTCTCACGGAGCGAGCCCGCTGCACCGAATCCGAGATTGCAACCGGCAAGGCACCATCCCGGCAGTTCAGCGGGGCAAGTATGCATGGCACCCATGCAAAGTGCTGGTCTCAGGTCCAGAAGCTTCACAGGGAGATTAGCCGCTACAGGCGTCCGAGCGTTGTGAAGAGAACTTTTTCACCTTTGGCCGGGCTGCTTGCCTTAATTGCTGGTCAAGATTTCGTCGAAAAGTCCGAGCTCTAATGCTGCACGACGCCGCTACGTACCACTACAAGTCGACGATGTCAGCTTACGGCCTCTGTCACTGTAGCCTTGCGATGCCGTGCACAACGGTCGACGGCTCATGCCGCTGACGCAAGACAGACCCAAAAATTATATCTGCTACTACTGAATATCATTTGCTCGTTCGAAGAACACCTGAGGAAGTCCTTGGCCGGGCTAAGAGGCCAGAAGAGCGATTCTGAAGGCTCGGTTCTGTTGCGGCTTTTTTGTGGCCTCTGAGTTTCGACTCTTCGAGGCCTTGACCTATGGGGCGCGCTCGAAGACGGGCCGCAGGGATCGCCGACTCCGACGAGTCCTCAAGCTGCCTTGCAGAAGGGCACGTCGACTCTGGACCTTCGGGAGCTTGAAGACGCCGCCGAAGGCGAATTGGGAGGAGCTGCAGTCTGCACAGCTTTTGGTTTGTGACGCGATGCCCCAAGTCTGGCAGCTTGTTGGAGGAGATGGCCAGCCGTCGAGCAGCGAGAGCTCGGAAGATGCTCGTCCACATGTTGACCCACATCATGCAGTGCATGTCACGATCTGCCGCGGCGCACCTGTAGCATGCTTTGCAGAAGAAAATGCTATCCGCACCCTCAATGTCAATCGAAGTTTCGGCCATCGGGAAAAGCGAGCCCAAGCAGTTACACAAATACCGGCGCAGATTTTCCTTAGCGTGGCTGCGAGAAACCTGGTTTGGGGTGGCATGAGCAAATAGACGCTGAGATGTAAGAAGACTGCTACCTGCTGGGCACCTGCCTCGTAGAGTCAGAGCATGGGCATATGTGGGCATGAATCGGTACCACAACAGATCGTGAGATGTTCGGCAGTTCTGCACTGCTGAGGAAGAAGCGGCCGAAACGACTCAGACGATGCTGTCGATTCCACCGGTGCTCTCCAGGTGTGGAAGCCGCGAAGAGAACAACAGCACCTGCGAAAAAAACAGCTTTTCGCCATGTCTCGGACCCGTCTACGTAGAGGCCTCCCAACCTCCCCAGAGTTGCAGGTGTACGCAGGCGCTATGTCAAAGGCAACGCCCGAAAGCCTGACATGCTGTAAGTAGGCATCTGGCGTATCTCTTTCTGATTTTCTGTCAACCTCAGGCAACTGCTCCGGTCAATCGCCTCGCAATTCGCCGCGTCCCAGCTTGCTGCGTCGCCTTGCATCGGATGACGGCTCCTGGCATGCATAAGGCCTATAAGGCAATGCTTCGTTTGAACGGTTCGTCTGCACGGAATTATTCAGCTGAGGTGAGATGGCAAGCCAGGCACCGCGCAACATCCGTGCTACGCTGAAAGACAAAATGTGGCTTCGCTCATACAGCTGCGAATTCTGTGCTGCCTGACAACTGGCTGCACCCATGCGCAAACGCAGATCCAACTTGTGCACCGAGGCAGAACAACGGAAATCAGGACTGGTCCTGCAAAGAAGAGTAAACTGGTTGTTCAGAAAGACGTGGCAGACTGCCACGGAGGGCGAAAGCCTCTTGAGCACTGCCAGAATTGAGCTGTGGGTCAAGACAACACAGGAGCAAGGAAGCATGCGAGAAAGACCTGTTTAGAAGCAGAGAGAGCATCTCAGAGAGGGGTATCGGAAAGCTTCACGTGCAACAGGAGCCACTAAAATCACTCGCATATGGTCGTTGATTCGAGCCCGAGATTCGCCGTACCACGGGCTTTGACGGATGGTTCATTGACGGCGAGCACATCGAAATTTGAAAGGACTGACTCAGGACGTGGACACTCTGGTGAGCGCTGAACCCGTCGCAAGCAGGCGAGAGGGAGAAAGAGGCACTGCATGCAGAGAAACCTTTCGCAGCGCATACAAAGCACGCAGAGAGATTGAATCCGCACGACTACAGAGCCACAGGCCCGTCAGGGAATTGGCCGCATGCCATTTCACATCATGGATATTGATTCAGCATCTTGCACCTTGCACGACATGCGACGATGGAAGACAACATACGACACGTAGCTGCAGTGCGGAACTTGTCGTTTCAGTGAGTCCTCGAGGCCCTCCGCGCGAGGTTCAAGCCAAACCCTCGTCGACAGGGCTTCCCGTTGATATGGATCAAGCCGTCACGCCGCCTAACGGACCTAACAGACCTCTCAAGACCTCGGACTCGACTTGGTGATGATCGCCCTTATACCCAAAGCCACTGCTTTTCGATGCACGATACCAGAGGCCTTTGAATGCAGAGCAGGTATGCGCGCAGGCCCACAGGTAGTGGTCGTGTACTGCTTATAGCTCAAGTCCGACAATGAACTAGCAAAATGATCAAATTAACAATCCCCTGGTCCTGTTCGAGGTCGACGGAAGCGCATGTCTCAGTTGCAGCAAGCCAGCAGCTCCCGCCAGGAAATGCGCGAATCAATCCATGGTTTGGGAAGTGCCTGAGCATGAGCAAGGGGCAAAGATAGGAGAAGAGCACGACGGATCAGATAATGCTGTTGGAAGCCAGCAAATTTGAAAGTGCAGTTGGAATTGAGAGAGGCTTCTGTGGGACAAGTGCAGAGTGCCCGCGTTACTGAGTTCAGCTAGTTCTGACAGTGCCTTCAACAGGTTCTGCAACAAGTTGTAGCGCAAAGTCATTTCTTAGAAGCCTAATTAATAGCTAGATAGTTTAGAGCAGAAGGTGTGGCATCCGCTTTCTCTCAGGAGAGGCGACGCTGTCAGTATTATCAGAAGATGGAAAGACACCGAAAGGAGTCGGATAGTCATGCTTTCATTGTGAGGCTGTCACGGTCTGATTGCATAAGACATGTAGGAGCCGATCAAGACGATCATCGAGCATCATATCGATTTGGTACGCAGCCCAGAGTAGAGCACGCTTGGAAGGCTGCAACGGCATCGCAAGAAACCATCGAAGTCATGTCAGGGTTTTCAGTGCAGGGCCGGACTGGACTAGGGCCTAGGGCTGGGCACTGCAAGCGTTGCTGACAAAGGTCGGAAGACGACCTTCACGATCAACAAGGCGGCAAAGAAAGGTCGGGCGTCGGGTCTTGTGCGTTGTTTACAGCATCTTGATAGAAGCTCGGCTGTCAAGGTTCCCGAGCGAAGATTCGAGCCAGTCAAGCAGATGGAAAAGGAGGTGGGGAACCAAAGAAGGCCCGAGAGAAAGGACCTCTGCCATTTCGAGTCATCAGCTCCTCAACGGCATATTTTCACCACGAGATGGTTGACGTAGCTTACTGTCCCGTCTCCGGGACGCTGAGCTCCGTTTGATAACGGGACCGTTCCAAACCGTAATTAAATGCATTTAGCAGTTTCGTAAGCAGCATGATGCTAGGCCCTGTGGGACCGGAAAGAATGAAATAGGTAATATAGAACACCTTAATTTGTGAGGCTGGAGCTCGCAAAAGCGGAGCTATCGCTGTGCCGCACAAAACTTGGAGCCTCCATCCGACCAGGCCAGGAACTTCAGCGCGCTGTGCGATACGGATAACTTTCAGAATATTAGAGGAATATCACCCGCACGTTTCGATTTTCCCATCACCACTTTCACCGAGACAAGTTAGAACCTGACCCAAGTCCGCAATGGATGTGGGGGAGGTTGGATAGATGCTAGGGCCCGCTTGCGCTGCAGGTAGTAGAGGGCTTGGCGTTGACATTGCAAATTTCCTTGTCCATGAGGCGAGCCGAGTCAATCTAACCAAGACAAAATATTTATTGGTACTCGTCCAAGAATTGGGGGGAAATTGGTCCTGACTCTCAGAGGCATCGATTTCACGGCAACTCGCCGAGCTGGAGTCTGGCGCAAGCATGGCGAACCAATGGGAGACGGATGCTGCACCGGAGCATTTCCTTTTCCTTGATTTTGGCATGGAGGCTGCTGCTTGTCTTTGAGAAGTCGTGGCAAGCAAGCCAAGCCGTCTCAGCTGCGCTCCAGTGCCGAAGACTTCTTGTTACCGAACCCTGCCTTGGCACAAGGAGATCACCAGGGTCAAACTGCGCTGCACCGGGACGCTCTACGATCCCAAGAGTGTTACTGTCATGCGCGCTGTCATCGGCGTCCTCGAAGTTGTCGAAGAGCATAAGCGGCTGGCCGAAGAGGCCAGGTAGCATCCGTCCTGAGCACAACGACAGCAGGGAACGACTCACCAAGAGCAGGTGAACATGGTAAAGGCAAGACAAGCACGGTAGCTGCTGGCAGCTGCAGAGCTGCAGCCTCACATGGCAGAATTCCGTGATCGCTGTTGGAGCTACTTAGCCCAGAGAGCTACGGGTAGTCGTCAGGAGTCATATTGCAGTCGAAGGCAAATACAATCTGCATGGCAGGGTTCGTTCGGCACCATTGCTCGGAGTGGCGCAGCGTGCCTGTATCCGACCAGAAATATGAGGGCAATGTGGTTGCGGAGGGGTGCAGCGAAAGCCTCTCACCGATGGATGCATATGCGGTGGGTCCTTTGTGAGAGTACTTGTAGCCCGGGACTTGCCCCTCGTTGTAGTCTTGGAGTCTGGGTTTTCCCTGCAGTGCGACCTAGTCAGCGAAGCGGGTGGGACAAAACATGGATGCTGTAATGCATGAGAGGGGGTCATGGTAAGCATTCAAAGGCGGAGATCCTCGAAGGCATACACCTTCGGGGTAGAGTATGGGTGCTTGCGTGCACGCACCTTCTACATGCTTCGGGGTTGTCTGTTCATGGGTCGTGGAACTGCAGGAAGGCCACAGCCCAAAACGTCGTTGTTGAGGTCAGTTCCTGTCCAGCTGGGTAGGTTTGACGAATGACGGAGGTTCTACGTTGGTGTGATGCCTCCTGATATTCCAGCCTGCCATTACGTGCCCTGGAACCACATCTCGGATAAAGTCTAGATTTATCACAGGAAGTCGAGATGGTCAGTCTGTCGGCTGCCCGAGAGTGCGGAATGCTGTTGCCCATGAAATCCCAACAAAAGTATGCAGAAAGTCAAGGGATGTGAAGGGCCGTCGGTTCTGCGTCGGTTGCTGTGTATGCGAAAGGTGCGAGTCGTGGACGCTGGATGTTAGCACAAGGTAAGGGAATGAGGGTCCAGGGTTAGATGCCGCCTGCGAGGCACAAAGATCACCTGAAGCCAGTGCGGTGAACACACTCGCATTGATCACGAAGGGAACCTGGGCCGTGATCACAAGAGAAACCTGGCCGGACCGTTGGCATTTTCCATTTGAGTTTTGCTTTACATCGCCGTGAAGCTGTGCGGCTGCACGGCTTCGTGGCTGAGGCATCTTTGAAATCCGGTCCACAGGCTCGCGATCGGCATTCGCACACTCTGCGGTTCCCGCCCGTTCGCACGCGTTGCTGTGATGATCAAAGATTGGCCTTTGCAAGTATCAGGGGTCCCGCACTGCTGCAAATCATGTCCTAAGGTTTCTTGCGAATCACATTTCATGAGTCGCACTCGTCCTCCGGCACCTCTCCTGCAGTTGCACGCTTTGCAAGGCGTTAGAGGTAAGATCACTGCTTACTAGTCACAAGCAGACAGTCCGCCATGCTCGAGGCAATATGCGCCTGCTGCAGCCGTTGGTTGTTTACGGCAAGCTGCTGCGTCCTCCAGTTCCAGCTCGTGCCTTGGCTAGAGTTGTCTGAATCATAAGGCCGTGGAGTTGTCGTCAGATGGGTCTTTCAGTGCTGTCTCTTCCATCCACTCCACAAAGATCATCAACTTGTCTCGGTTTCGGTGTTGTGTCGGGGCATCAGTACTGTTCATTGACGATCAGTGTTACAGAAAGGGCCACCGTGGCCTCCAGCATGCGTTATCCGCATCTTCATCGTCACCAGAAGCACCAGCAGCAGCATCATCATCATCATCCACGTGCGTCGTAGGCTCGTCCTAGCCAGGCGGGAGGCAAAATCCACGTGCGGTCGCCGTTACGGCTTTGACTCGCACACGAGCGCACGTCACGTGAGGAGCGATCCGTTCGTCACATCTGTTTGTTGATGCACAGCTCGTAGGGTCATGTACTGGGTCACGGCACGGCGAGCCTGAGGCAAGCTGTCCACCACGATTATGTTCCATGAGCGCTGGGTCGATGAAATGGAGCGTTCAACGCGAAAGCTGGCACGGAAGTACCGGATACCTATTGACTACACGGAAACGGCCGCAAAGCAGCATTTGTCGGTGCTCAGACACGAAGGCTGCAAACATGCAGCCTCAGCGCTGTCAGTAGATTGCCACACTAACTAGCACAGAGTGTTGAATGCATTTAACTTGTTGTGAAGCATCTAGGTGGCCGTATATGGACAAGGCAACAGATTATGGTAGGTGACAGGACGGCTCGACGTTTCAAGCTAAGGTGCTGAAAGAGTCGCACGGCTGCAGCCTGGTTTCTGCTTCATGGGCCACGGGCATCCGAAGTGTGCTTTGCAAGATGCCGTCGGCAGGTTCAAGCGGTACGACACGGAAAATCGTGGTTTCCTGAACTTCACCGATTTCAAGTGCGTGGTCCGCGCACTGACCTACCGCCATCTGGGCCAAAAGCAAGACGTGCAGCCCCGCTGAATGTTTCAAATGCTGTAGACCCATTAGACCTGAAGCATGCAAGTCAGGATGCTTCAAGACAGCCACCTTCGAGCACTCTGGAACATCGTGGACAAAGATGGCGAGATACTTAAAGCCTCCCAAACTTCTCTTAGCTACACCACGGCCCCAGAGATACTCGGAGGTAGCGGCTGTGTGGACTTCGAAGAGTTCCTGCAGTGGTTCTACTCCCACTTCCAGAAGGAAAAGCCTCCAGCAAGAAGCCTCCACTGCTTTGCGCTCAGTGTGACTGACATAGCATACATAGCCTTCTACTATATGGACGAACTAATTTGTATCCAGGTGTTGTCCAGGAGCTTAATCAAGGCTGCATGGGATTATTGGTGTCTGGTCGTGACTATCTCAAGTTATAATGTTACATGTGTCTGGCCATTTACCCTCCCTTGTACATCCGACGCCGGTTGCTTGTCGTGAAAGCGACATCTCCTTTCCATGCAAACAAGGCGGAAACGAGCCATTTGTCTGTAAATGTGCAGAGGCCAAACCGATGCCACGACTCAGATGTGGAATTTCCCCAAGCAGTGTGGTACAAACTTCTGCGCTCTTACATTAAGCGTAAAGAAAATTGGATAGTGTTACTGCATGTGTCGCGGCGCTCATGTCCCATTATTGACACAACGGCAAGCGCGGAATACAAATTGCAAGGCATTGGCCTCATTGTGGCCTGGAAACGGCTGAATCCCGCCAGCACGTCGGGATACGTCGGGGGAAGCAATGGAAGCATTTTGGCCGTAGTGCATGGAAAAAGCTTCAAGCCTCCCGACAACGTTATTCCGTGGTAGATGCGACGCTCAAAACCCATCAGACAAGGCGGGGAAGCATTGTGATAATGGTGCCCCTATAACTAGAACTAGAACCCTGAACCCTGCCAGTACATGGAGGAAAGGCTGTTGGTAAGGGGGGGTCCTGGTGGCATCCTGGCGTCTGCTGGTGGTCTCCTCCTGGTCTGCGAAGAAGGGGCAGTGAAGTCGTGGTTTGGAGGGGTTGCTGAGGGGCGGTTCGGCACGCCACGCCCGAAAGCGAACCCGGACTTGAACTTGAGAGGAGGGGACGGGCCTTGGCTGTTTCGCTCAGGATTAGGAAGCAGATCCCATCAGGAAGCGTAGCAAATCAAACGATCCAGCTACGGCAGAAGAGTAACTCAAGCAAAAATCTCATGGTCCATGGAAAACCAGAAGCTAGACTGCAACGCCTCCATTGACGACGAGTGTCAGTCATAAAGCTTTGGAGAAAGGACTTCAGCACGCTGTGAGGACAACAGTTGCCATAGGAACACTTCTGCTGCATCTTGCCACAGCATGCAATTGTTTGCAGGTGGCTGCGATTCCCGCCTTTAGGACAGGTAGCCCCATTTGGGTTAGCTTTTTGCATGAGACATTCCCTATCAAATTAACTGTTTCATACTCCTACTGTCTTGCCTCAGCAGCCTTTGCCTTGCTAGCTGTTGCTTCCACGTTGCACAGTACGTTGCACTAACCCATGCTTTCCACATTGGGACGACGATTAAACTCCTTGTGAAGCGAGGGGTTTATGAATGAGTAGTCTTCAACCCGGAGAAATGCTGGTAGATGAGGTGGCGATGCAGTTCTTCAGTTTACAAGCCTGCTTGGACTGACCACAGGTGACAGAATGGTGGATTCGGTGACGGAGCACTTCTATGCATCCATGGGTGTGAACAGACTTCGGTGCTACGTGACTTCCCTCGAACCCGGCTGATGCCTCAGCCATTATATGACGCACATATACACAAGAGGAATGTATCATGCGCATCACGTTGCTGGCTGCATCCTGCTTGGCATGCACAGCCGGAGAGCTAAGAACCCGGACACGAGGACGATCAAGCGGACAAGGATGGGGGTGTCTGAAGGGATCCGGGGGTGGATGCGACATGATGACACATGGGGTGGCCTGGGTGAAACTGATTCAATCGTGGAGTCGATGCATTGGGACGGGACTGGATTCACTGGGTCCTGCCGTCTGAGAAACCCGCCCCAAAGATTCTGTCAAGGAGGATCGACGTGCCGATCAGGCTCGTGCGTGTAGGTTTGTTTCTCGCGAGTGGGGGCGCTTTGGGTGATTTTTGTTCAGGAGCACCGCAGTGAGTTTGGTTTCAAGGTGTTGATTTCTCAGATGCTCTTTCTCCAGTGTGGCTCACGCTGCTCCAGTTTCATGCAGCTTGGAAATGGAAACTGCAGAATGAACATTGAGACATTCGAATCGATTCGGTTGGACATGGCTTCTGTGCAGGCCGCACAATCCGCCGTGAAGAAAGCTTGGCATCTTGTCCCCAAAGCCTACCGTTTGATGATGACGGTAGTGTTGTGAAAGCGTGCAGTCAACTTCTGTTCCATGAGCAGCAATCGCCATGCTCATTTCGTCGAGGCTTCGGAATACCTTGGCCGCTGCATCAGGCTTCTTGGGCCGCGTTATCAGTCGCACCGAGGCGAAGGCGTCAAGCCAAGCAAAGCCACGAACCAGGCCACACTTCGCCATGAGGGCCAATTCTAAATCTTGAGAGCAGGAGATGCCCGAGGATCCTGTAGCTGGAATGATAGGGCCGGTCGAGTCTTGTGAGCGGAATCTCCCGAGATCGCCAGTGCCTTGTGTTGCTTGGCCGAGGACATTGAAGAATTTACGTTTGAACCTACAAGGCCATGCCTGGTGAGATCCTCCAGAGATAGACTGTGCGGTGCCACTAAGTGGCAAGAACATCTTGCTACAGATCTTCAGACAGCCCAAGGCTCCCTGACTTAGTGGCAGATGTGGAAAAGTGCGAATTCTGATCTGGAGAGGGTAATTGATTCCCTTGGCGGGTAGGGTTGAGCCATCAAACGAGTTGTGCAGTGCAGCGCATGGGTCACAGCAGAATCAGAAGATAAAGTGCATCATCCGCACCACCACCAGAAGCAAATCTCCATTCCCTCGAAGAGGGAGCCAATGCAGACTCCTGGTCGTACCAAAGGCGGGCTCCAAGGTTTGAGCATGGTTGAACATGATAGGCATTGACTTTACAGCCCTCCGTGCTACGCAGCCATGACCGTCGCTGATTCCCCCGTGCAGTGCGACGTTCTGGTGTCCGAGCATGGACATTTGAGAGCGATTTTCTTGTGATATTGCGGATGCCGAAGCAGCCGCCCGCCGAGCAAAGTGAATCTGACTAAGGTGGGCAGCATCTCAGCCAGCCGGCCAACAGCTTTTTGCTCGCCGGATGACACCCTGGATTCGGCCAGCAATCTTTTGCAGTCGACTGGACGCACGGCCGCGATCATAGAAAACGGAGAGAAGACAGTGCTCGGGGTACTGACAGAGAACGACATGTTGTGCCTTGGCGATTATCAACAACATGTCGTTTGTCAAAGCTGTTGCCGGAGTGCTCGCTCCAATTGCATTCCCGAGAAGAGGCTGGCATTTGTGGAAGGGACAGCCTCCAGCTGCACGGTCGGCCAATGGCTTCATGGTGGCGAGGACATTGTCTTCAGTGTGTTAAACAAGTTGAGTCAGCGTTTCTAAGGCGACGGTGTTGCGTGTCTTTGAAGCCGAGCAGGCGCGATTGCCCAACTTCCTGGTTCCCCCACTATCCCTTCAGCCGGATGTGCCACTCATGGAAGCTGCAGCACGCATGGCTGTGATGACGAATGGCGCCCTGGGCGGCATCAAGTCTGTGCAAGGCAGCCTGCCACCAGCATCTGTGACCTGCTTCAAGGCGACTTTGCTTGTCATCATCTGCTGGTAGATCCGGGGGACACCGATCGAAATGTGGCCTTGCTCTCTGCGCTGGACATTGCCCGTGGCCTCCTCGTAGCAGCTTCTGCGCACGTTGGCGACCAGGCCCACGTTGCTTTCCAGTCCACTTTCCGAGAGCCAGCTGGAAATGAGTGACCAGAAGTAGAAGGCAAACCAGTTCAGAATCAGGAGCTTCTCAACTTGAGAGTGCATTAGTGCGGAGGTGCCAAGTGAAAGTCGTCAATACTTTTCATTTTCGGTGCCGCTGACTTCTCGAGGCGCTGGAGGTGGCAAGATTGGCAGTGACACATGCCATGAAGCCCCGATCGCAAGTTCCCAGTTGCCTCTCGGTTGAGCCCAGACGTTGCATCTTCCGAAGCCCGGATGTTTGCGGGTCGTGGTTAGTCTTCGAAACACACCCTGTACGCAAGAGTGTCACGGTTGAGCAACACAAAGCCCGTGGTCTTGGGTTGATTTTTCTGTGGATCGCATATCCAGGGTCTCCGGTGCAGAAGTCATGAAGGTGCGGCAGGTTGCCAGAAGTCGCTCCCCCACGGCAGCCAAAACATGGCTGACTGCAGCTGTATTCACGCTGAATTTGAAGGCCTAGATGTCGCCTCCTGTTTGCAGGTACTCTCGCAGATAGCCTCGGGGATGCGCTTGACCTTTTGCACAGCTCGAACCAGAATTGTGTCCTTGCGATTCCTACATCGACCGAAGATGAGGGACAGCAAGAGGAAGAAGGCGGCGACCTCGGATTCTTCAGGAGGAATGCAGTTCGAGCTTTATTGGATAGCGCCGACTCTGCCCAAGAATGCGTCCTTTGGGTCTCAGGTGATCAAGTCATGGAGCACGCCATAGTGGGTGGTGCCATAACACCAGGTGACGCTTTGCGGGCCATCTCGGAGCGGGTCAACTGCAGAAGCTTAAGCTTGGGGAAATGGCTGCATAAGCACCTTGCCTCGCAACAACAGCGGGGGTATGCTTCTCGGGCCAACTTTGGCGTGTCTTTCAAGACGGAAGATGGCGCACAAGGTCAGGCATCAGCCCCGAACATCGCTTCATTTCCTCAGAGAGTTCTTTGGCAGATGCTGCCGTGGGAACCTCAGTCTTTAAGTGCGTGCAGAGTGTTGGAAGATGTGTACAATCACAGACAGGCGCCTGCACGGAGTGATATGTACACCTAGTGCACATACCGACACAATACACTCATGAGCATACAACCATCCTATACATACACATGCGCATACGAAGCTGCATATTATATTATATTATACTAAAATATATTATATTATAGTATATTATATAATATTATACTATAATATATTATATCACACTATACTATATCATATCATGTTATATTATGTTATAT